TGCCCCCCCCCCCCCCCTCTCTCTCTCTCTCTCTCTCTCTCTCTCTCTCTCTCTCTCTCTCTCTCTCTCTCTCTCGTTCTCTCTTTCGCTCTTTCTCTCGCTCTCTCTCTTTTTTTTCCTCGCTCTCTCTCGTTCTCTTCTCTTTCTATCTCTTGCTCTCTCTCTCTCACTCTTGCTCTTTCTCTCTCTCCCTATTTTTCTTTCTGTCTCTCTCTCTCTCTCTTTCTCTCTCTCTATCTCTCTCACTCTCTCTCTCACTTTCTATCTCTATAGCTTTTCCCTCTCTCCCTTGTTCTCTCTTTCTCTCCCTCACTCTCTTCTCTCTCTCTCTCTCTCTCTCTCTCTCTCTCTCTCTTTCTCTCTCTCTCTCTCTCACCCCCGAAAACAGTATCTGCCAGGGGACTCAAAGCGCACAGGGTGAAGCCGATGTGTAGGAAAGAAGACCAAAACATTTCATCTTTTCTTCTAATTTCCATCAAGATTGTTTTCTAACACAACCGTTTCTTTGCATTGATTGAAAGTACACTCTCAGTGTGAGGGCAGGTTGGCGGGAAACATGAGCAACGAATGACCTCTACTATGAACAGGTTTTTAAACATTTATTAGTAAGGTTTTACAGCACTCACAGCTGCATAATAAGGTCATATGAGCGCCATGGGATGGATGTCAACAGAGAAGTCCAAATGGAAAATCAGGCTTACTCTGCTCACCTCTCTAGCATCAACAGCATAAAGTCTGCTTCGACTATCAAGACCCCATGGATTTGGAAGGTTTAGAAGCCCACCAGTCGCAAAAAGGACTGACAGTGACTGTTGGACAGGGAGCGCTATGTACAGGCTTTAGGTATAGGAAAAACACAAGGATGTCAACAGTGGCCGTTAGTACAAGTGAGAGGTGGTCGCTATACATAGTGATAGATAGATAGATACATACATACATACATACACACATACATAGATAGATACATGGATAGATACATAGATAGATACATACATACATAGATACATGCATAGATACATAGATACATAGATACATAGATACATAGATACATACATACATACATACATACATACATACATACATACATACATACATACATACAAACATACATGCATACATAAATAGATTGGTAGATAGATAGGTAGATAGATAGATTGATAGATAGAGAGATAGATAGATAGATAGATAAACAGATAGATAGATACATAAGTAGATTATGTCATTATAAAATACTATAATAGGGAATAAAATAAAAGTTTCTCACCATTTTTGATATACTGTGTCGTGGTTTTCTCTGCAGACATAGGCCCATGAAGGCCTGTTTTGTGCCAGATGATGACGACGATGATGATATAGCACACGGCGATGATGATGGCGGGGATGAAGAACAAGACAACGGCAATACTGGTGAGGTAAAGCTGGGGACAAATAAGATGAACAGATTAAAAGAAACTTACACCTCCGCTTCTTTAGTGATATCCTCCTCTTCCTCCTCCTCCTCCTCCTCCTCCTCCTCCTCCTCCTCCTCCTCCTCCTTCTCCTCCTCCTTCTCCTCCTCCTCTTCTTCTTCCTCCTCCTCCTCCTCCTCCTCCTCCTCCTCCTCCTCCTCCTCCTCCTCTTCTTCTTCCTCCTCCTCCTCCTCCTCCTCCTCCTCCTCCTCCTTCTTCTTCTTCTTCTTCTTCTTCTTCTTCTTCTTCTTCTTCTTCTTCTTCTTCTTCTTCTTCTTCTTCTTCTTCTTCTTCTTCTTCTTCTACAAAAGATCTTGACGATTGAAACAAGTGTGGCTTGGCTGCACTCAACCAAACTCAAGGCCAGCAGTGGCTTCCTGATAAAACCGGTCAACCCACAAAATTGAGGGTTGGTCGGTTTTATCGAGGAAAATTTGAGCGACATAACCGTCTAACCCACACAGTTTCATTAAAAGCAATTTTTAAAGGAAAAAAAGGTCTAGAGATTTTCGGTAAAGTGTTTTTATAGGTGTTTGAAGCATTGATTTATCGTTAGACACCTTTGTTTTGAAATAAAACAGTTTTTTCCTTCTCCTGTAAAATTTACCTCGCTGGGGTTAGTTGGTTTTATCACAAGGCCGACGTTATGTTCCTTGAAGTGTCGACATTTGAAAAGTTCAAAGACAGACAAGGTTCTCTCTCTCTCTCTCTCTCTCTCTCTCTCTCTCTCTCTCTCTCTCTCTCTCTCTCTCTCTCTCTCGTTGGCGCGCTATTTTTATATTACCTCGGAACGTACCGCTCCTCTTTGGCGCGCGCTATTTCATAACCTTTCACGACGGACGCGCCACCCTGGATTCCTCTACTTGTGCATGCTACAAAAAGTTTGCCTTTTGGTTTTTCACTTTCAAACTTTCAAAAGTATTCAGATACCATTTTGGAATTGTTTCTTTATGTCAGAAGTTGAGTTGCTTGAACACTTTTCGATTTACCGGCGAATTTCTGAGGTCTCTTTCCAGTGC